GGGCTGCGAGCTCCTCACTGGCACCTCAACGCCAACGAGCACGGATTCCTGCTCCAGGTATGCCCACATTTACACCCCAAATTCACACATTGCTCCAAAATTTAGCCACAATTTACACTCATTTTTATGAGTTTTTTCGGATTTTTTTCGGATTTTTTTCTGAGTTTTTTGAATTTTTTTCTGATTTTTTTCTGATTTTTTTTGAATTTTTTTCCCATTTTTTTCTGATTTTTTTCCAATTTTTTCCTGATTTTTTTCTGATTTTTCTCGATTTTTTTCTGATTTTTTTCTGATTTTTTCCTGATTTTCCCGGAATTTTTTTCCGATTTTTTTCTGATTTTTTTCTGATTTTTTTCTGATTTTTTTCCGATTTTTTTCTGATTTTTTTCGATTTTTTTCGGATTTTTTCCGATTTTTTTCCGATTTTTTTCTGATTTTTTTCCCATTTTTTTCCGATTTTTTTTGGATTTTTTTCTGATTTTTTTCCCATTTTTTTCTGATTTTTTTCCTTATTTTTTTCTGATTTTTCTCCATTTTTTCCGATTTTTTTCCTGATTTTTTTCTGATTTTTCTCCATTTTTTTCTGATTTTTTTCCTATTTTTCCCATGATTTTTCCCAATTTTTTCCCTATTTTTTCACCCCAAAATTCCCAAATTTTTGCCAGGATTTATCCCAATTTTTCCCAAATTTTTTCTGATTTTTCCAGATTTTTTTCTGATATTTTTTGAATTTTTTTTGAATTTTTTTCTGATTTTTTTCCGATTTTTTTCTGATTTTTTTTCCTATTTTTCTCTTTTTTTTCCTCCAAATTTTTCCCAATTTTTTCCTGATTTTCCCGGAATTTTTTTCCGATTTTTTTCCTGATTTTTTTCTGGTTTTTCTCCATTTTTTTCTGATTTTTTTTCCTGATTTTTTCCCAATTTTTTCCCTGATTTTTCCCAATTTTTTCCCTATTTTTTCTTATTTTTTCACCCCAAAATTCCCAAATTTTCTCCAAAATTTATCCCAATTTTTCCCAAATTTTTTCTGATTTTTCCAGATTTTTTTCTGATTTTTTTCCTGATTTTTTCCTGATTTTTTTTTGATTTTTCTCCATTTTTTTCTGATTTTTTTCCTGATTTTTTTCCTATTTTTCCCATGATTTTTCCCAATTTTTTCCCTATTTTTTCACCCCAAAATTCCCAAATTTTTGCCAGGATTTATCCCAAATTTTCCCAAATTTTTTCTGATTTTTCCAGATTTTTTTCTGATTTTTTCCGATTTCTTTTGAATTTTTTTCTGATTTTTTTCTGATTTTTTTCCAATTTTTCCTCCAAATTTTTTCCAATTTTTTCCTGATTTTCCCGGAATTTTTTTCCGATTTTTTTCCCGATTTTTTTCTGATTTTTCTCGATTTTTTTCTGATTTTTTTCCTGATTTTTTCCTGATTTTCCCGGAATTTTTTTCCTGATTTTTTTCCGATTTTTCTCCATTTTTTTCTGATTTTTTTCCCGATTTTTTTCTGATTTTTCTCCATTTTTTTCTGATTTTTTTCCTGATTTTTTTCTGATTTTTCTCCATTTTTTTCTGATATTTTTCCCGATTTTTTCCCTATTTTTTCACCCCAAAATTCCCAAATTTTTTCCAGGATTTATCCCAACTTTTTTCCCAATTTTTTCTTATTTTTTCACCCCAAAATTTCCAAATTTTTTCCAGAATTTTTCCTAATTTTTTCCTGATTTTTCCAGATTTTTTTCTGATTTTTATGTATTTTTTTCTGATTTTTTTCCTGATTTTTTTCCTATTTTTTCCCAATTTTTTTCATAATTTTTCCCATTTTTTTTCCCAAATTTTTCTTATTTTTTTCACCCCAAAATTCCCAAATTTTTTCTGATTTTTTTCGATTTTTTTCTGATTTTTCTGTGTTTTTTCCTGATTTTTTTCTGATTTTTTTCCCAATTTTTTTTCTGATTTTTTCCATGATTTTCTCCTCTTTTTTCCAGTTTTTTCTTATTTTTTCATCCCAAAATTTCCAAATGTTTTCCTGGATTTATCCTGACTTTTCCCAAATTTTTTCTGATTTTTCTTGATTTTTTTTCTGATTTTTTTCTGATTTTTTTGAATTTTTTTCCGATTTTTTTCCAATTTTTTCCCAATTTTTTCCATAATTTTTCCCACTTTTTTCCCTATCTTTTCCTATTTTTTCACCCCAAAATTCCTAAATTTTTTCCAGAATTTATCCCAATTTTTTCTGACTTTTTAAGAATTTTTTTCTGATTTTTCAAAAATTTTTTTCTGATTTTCCTCTATTTTTTACTGATTTTTTTCCTGATTTTTTTCCTATTTTTTCCATGATTTTTCCCACTCTTTTCCCTCTATTTTTTACTGATTTTTTTCCTGATTTTTTTCCTATTTTTTCCATGATTTTTCCCACTCTTTTCCAAAATTTTCACCCCAAAATTCCCAAATTTTTTCCAGGATTTATCCCAATTTTTTAAGATTTTCCCGACTTTTTTCCTGATTTTTCCTGATTTTTTCTGATTTTTATGTATTTTTTTCTGATTTTTTTCCCAAATTTTCTTATGATTTTCCCCACTTTTTTCCCTATTTTTTCTTACTTTTTCACCCCAATATTCCTAAATTTTTTCCAGGATTTATCCCAATTTTTCCTGATTTTTTTCTGATTTTTTCCTGATTTTTTTCCCTTTCTTTTCCTATTTTTTCCCAATTTTTCCCCTGATTTTTCCCAATTTTTTCCCAATTTTTTCACCCCAAAATTCCCAAATTTTTCCAGGATTTATCCCAATTTTTCCCGATTTTTTTCGGATTTTTTCTGATTTTTTTTGATTTTTTTTCTGATTTTCTTCTGATTTTTTCCCGATTTTTCTCTTATTTTTCTCCTGATTTTTCCCAATTTTTTCCTGATTTCTCTTCTAATTCTTCCATCCAAAATTCCCAAATTTTTTCTGATTTTTCTCGATTTTTTTCTGATTTTTTCCCAATTTTTCTTATGATTTTCCCCACTTTTTTCCCTATTTTTTCTTATTTTTTCACCCCAATATTCCTAAATTTTTTCCAGGATTTATCCCAAATTTTCCTGATTTTTTTTTTTTCTGATTTTTTCGGATTTTTTTCCCTTTTTTTTCCTTTTTTTTCCCAATTTTTCCCCTGATTTTTCCCAATTTTTTCCCAATTTTTTCTTATTTTTTCACCCCAAAATTCCCAAATTTTTTTCCAAAGTTTATCTCCATTTTTCCCGATTTTTTGATTTTTTTTGACTTTTTTCTGATTTTTTTTGAATTTTTTTCCGGTTTTTTTTCCTATTTTTTCCCAATTTTTTCCATGATTTTTCCCAATTTTTTCCCAATTTTTTCTTATTTTTTCACCCCAAAATTCCTAAATTTTTTCCAGAATTTATCCCAATTTTTCCTGACTTTTTAAGAATTTTTTTCTGATTTTTTTAAAATTTTTTCCTGATTTTTCTCTATTTTTTACTGATTTTTTTCCTGATTTTTTTCTCTCTATTTTTTACTGATTTTTTTCCTGATTTTTTTCCTATTTTTTCCATGATTTTTCCCACTCTTTTCCAAAATTTTCACCCCAAAATTCCCAAATTTTTTCCAGGATTTATCCCAATTTTTCCCAATTTTTTCCTGATTTTTTTAAAATTTTTTTCTGTTTTTTGTCTATTTTTTCTGATTTTTTTCCTATTTTTTCCCAATTTTTTCCATGATTTTTCCCACTTTTTTCCCTATTTTTTCTTAATTTTTCATCTCAAAATTCCCAGTTTTTTTCCAGAATTTATCCCAGTTTTTCCCAATTTTTTTCTGATTTTTCCAGAATTTTTTCTGATTTTTTTTAAATTTTTTTCAGATTTTTTTCCTATTTTTTCCCAATTTTTTCCATGATTTTTCCCACTTTTTTCCCAATTTTTTCTTATTTTTTTTTTATTTTTTTCTGATTTTTTTTGGATTTTTTTCCGATTTTTTTTCCGATTTTTCTTATGATTTTCTCCACTTTTTTCCCTATTTTTTCTTAATTTTTCATCCCAAAATTCCCAAATTTTTTCCAAAATTTATCCCAATTTTTTATGAATTTTTCCCGATTTTTTTCTGATTTTTCCAGAATTTTTTTCTGATTTTTTTTGAATTTTTTTCTGATTTTTTTCCGATTTTTTTCCGATTTTTTTCTGATTTTTTCCCAGTTTTTCTTATGGTTTTCCTCCCTTTTTTCCTTATTTTTTCTTATTTTTTCACCCCAAAATTCCCAAATTTTTTCCAGGATTTATCCCAATTTTTCCCAATTTTTTTCGGATTTTTTTAAAATTTTTCTCGATTTTTTTCTGATTTTTTCCCAATTTTTCTTTTTTTTTTCTCCTGATTTTTCCCACTTTTTTCCTGATTTCTCTTTGAATTTTTCCATCCAAAATTCCCAAATTTTTTCTGATTTTATCCCAAATTTTTTCTGATTTTTCTCGATTTTTTCCCAATTTTATCCCAAATTTTTTCTGATTTTTCTCGATTTTTTTCTGATTGTTTTCCTGATTTTTTCCCAATTTTTTTCTGATTTTTTCCATGATTTTCCCCACTTTTTTCTCAATTTTTTCTTATTTTTTCATCCCAAAATTCCCAGATTTTTTCCAGAATTTATCCCAATTTCTCCCAATTTTTTTCTGATTTTTTCCCAATTTTTTTCTGATTTTTTCCATGATTTTTCCCACTTTTTTCCCTATTTTTTCTTATTTTTTCACCCCAAAATTCCCAAATTTTCTCCAGGATTTCTCCCATTTTTTCCCAATTTTTTAAGAATTTTTCCCAATTTTTTTCCTGATTTTTTTTTGGTTTTTTTCTGATTTTTTTTGATGTTTTTTCCCAATTTTTCCCGATTTTTTCCCGATTTTTTCCGCCCAAAATTCCCAAATTTTCTCCGGAATTTTTCCCAATTAAAATCCTTTAAAAATATGGAAAAAATGGGAAAAAAATTGGGAAAAAACCTGAAAAAAATGGGGAAAAAATTCCAAAAAAATCCTTTAAAACACAAAAAAAACAGAAAAAAATGGGAAAAAATCAGAAAAAAAATGGGGAAAAAATGACAAAAAATTCCTTTAAAATACGAAAAAAATTGGGAAAAAAAGGGGAAAAAAACCTGAAAAAATCAGAAAAAAATCAGAAAAAAATGGGAAAAAACCTGAAAAAAATGGGAAAAAAATAACAAAAAAATCCTTTAAAAATACGAAAAAAATTGGGAAAAAAGGGGAAAAAATCAGAAAAAAAAAGGGGAAAAATGGCAAAAAAATCCTTTAAAAACATGAAAAAAATCTGAAAAAAAACTGAAAAAAATAACGAAAAAATCCTTTAAAAATACGAAAAAAAAAATCAGAAAAAAATCAGAAAAAAATTGGAAAAAACCTGAAAAAATGGGAAAAAATGGCAAAAAAATCCTTTAAAAATATGAAAAAATGAGAAAAAAATGGGAAAAAATCGGAAAAAAAGTTGAAAAAATGGCAAAAAAATCCTTTAAAAATCAGAAAAAAATGGGAAAAAACCTGAAAAAAATGGGAAAAAAAACCCGAAAAAAATCCTTTAAAATACAAAAAAAATTGGAAAAAAAGGGGAAAAAATCAGAAAAAAAAAAGGGAAAAAAATGGCAAAAAAATCACAAAAAAATCAGAAAAAAATCAGAAAAAAATGGGAAAAAAACCTGAAAAAAATCAGAAAAAAATCAGAAAAAAATGGGAAAAAAATCACAAAAAAATCCTTTAAAAATATGAAAAAAATTGGAAAAAATCAGAAAAAAAATGGGGAAAAAATGACAAAAAAATCCTTTAAAAATGACAAAAAAAATTGGGAAAAAAGGGGAAAAAATCAGAAAAAAAAAAAGGAAAAAAATGGCAAAAAAAATCAGAAAAAAATCAGAAAAAAATCAGAAAAAAATGGGAAAAAACCCTGGTAAAAATCAGAAAAAAATCAGAAAAAAATGGGAAAAAACCTGAAAAAAATGGGAAAAAAATCACAAAAAAATCCTTTAAAAATATGAAAAAAATTGGAAAAAATCAGAAAAAAATTGGAAAAAATCAGAAAAAAAATGGGGAAAAAAATCCCAAAAAAATCCTTTAAAATACAAAAAAAATTGGAAAAAAAGGAGAAAAAATCAGAAAAAAAAGGGAAAAAAATGGCAAAAAAATCACAAAAAAATCAGAAAAAAATCACAAAAAAATGGGAAAAAAACCTGGAAAAAATCAGAAAAAAATGAGAAAAAAATGGGAAAAAAAACCTTTAAAAATATGAAAAAAATTGAAAAAAAAAAAAGGGGAAAAACCTGAAAAAATCAGAAAAAAATCCGAAAAAAACGGGAAAAAACCTGAAAAAAATTGAAAAAAAATAACGAAAAAATTCTTTAAAAATCAGAAAAAAATCAGAAAAAAATCAGAAAAAACCTGAAAAAAATGGGAAAAACTGACAAAAAAATCCTTTAAAAATACGAAAAAAATTGGGAAAAAAAGGGGAAAAAAATCAGAAAAAAATGGGGGAAAAAATGGCAAAAAAATCCTTTAAAAATATGAAAAAATGGGAAAAAAATGGGAAAAAACCTGAAAAAATGGGAAAAAAATCAGAAAAAAAAGGGAAAAAAAATAACAAAAAATCCTTTAAAAATACAAAAAAAATAATCAGAAAAAAATCAGAAAAATATCAGAAAAAAATAGGAAAACCTGAAAAAGTTGGAAAAAAATAACAAAAAAATCCTTTAAAAATATGAACAAAAATCAGAAAAGAATTGGGAAAAAAACTGAAAAAAATGGGAAAAAACCACAAAAAAATCCTTTAAAATACGAAAAAAAAATCAGAAAAAAATCAGAAAAAAATTGGAAAAAACCCTAAAAAAAAAATCAGAAAAAAATTGGGAAAAAACCTGAAAAAATGGTAAAGAAATGACAAAAAAATCCTTTAAAAATACAAAAAAAATCAGAAAAAAAATCAGAAAAAAACGGGGGAAAAATCAGAAAAAATTGGGAAAAAAATCAGAAAAAAAAGGGGAAAAAATCAGAAAAAATTGGGAAAAAAATCAGAAAAAAATTGGGAAAAAAACGGGAAAAAATGACAAAAAAATCCTTTAAAAATCCTTTAAAAATCAGAAAAAAATGGGAAAAAATCAGAAAAAAAATGGGAAAAAATGACAAAAAAATCCTCTAAAAATCAGAAAAAAAAAGAGAAAAAATGACAAAAAAATCCTCTAAAAATCAGAAAAAAATGGGGAAAAAATGACAAAAAAGTCCTTTAAAAACATGAAAAAAATCAGAAAAAAATGCCAAAAAAATCCTTTAAAAATCCAAAAAAAACCCAAAAAAAAATCCGGAAAAAACGCTGAAAATTTGGGAATAACCTGGAATTTTCCCTTTTCTCATTACCAAGGGTTCAGCGTGGATCGGGATCCTGGGACCGGATCATTCCAGAGCCGTCACCTTCAACGTCACCCAGGGTCAGGTGGTTTTCTTCCCCAAAAATTCCGTGCATTGGGTGAAAAACGTCGGCGAAGAGGATTTGATTTTCCTGCTTTTCTTCTCCACTCACGACGAACTGTTGACTTTGGATGTGGATGATGTTTTCTTCTCCACCCCCGAGGATGTGGCAGCTCGAGCTTTGAAGGTTTGGGAAGTTTTCATTCATTTTTCCCTTTTTTTTCTCATTTTTTTCCCATTTTTCCCCATTTTTTTCCCTATTTTTTTCCCATTTTTAGTCCATTTTTCCCCATTTTTTTCCCCATTTTTATTCCATTTTTCCCCATTTTTATTCCATTTTTAGTCCATTTTTCCCCATTTTTTTCCCTTTTTTTTCCCATTTTTATTCCATTTTTTTCCCATTTTTTCCCCATTTTTTTCCGACTTTTATTCCATTTTTTTCCCATTTTTATTCCATTTTTATTCCATTTTATTTCCATTTTTATTCCATTTTTTTCCCCATTTTTTCCCATTTTTATTCCATTTTTTTCCCTTTTTTTCCCCATTTTTATTCCATTTTTTTCCCATTTTTATTCCATTTTTTTCCCATTTTTTTCCCGTTTTTTCCCCATTTTTTTTCGACTTTCATACCATTTTTTTTCCCATTTTTATTCCATTTTTTGCCCATTTTTATTCCATTTTTTTCCCTATTTTTTCCCATTTTTATTCCATTTTTTCCCCATTTTTTTCTGATTTTTATTCCATTTTATTTCCCATTTTTATTCCATTTTTTTCCCTATTTTTTCCCATTTTTATTCCATTTTTTCCCCATTTTTTCCAATTTTTATTCCATTTTTTTCCCTTTTCTTTCCCCATTTTTATTCCATTTTTTCTCATTTTTATTCCATTTTATTTCCCATTTTTATTCCATTTTTTTCCCATTTTTTCCCCATTTTTTCCCGACTTTTATTCCATTTTTTTCCCATTTTTATTCCATTTTTATTCCATTTTTTCCCCTTTTTTATTCCATTTTTTTCCCATTTTTTTCCCCATTTTTTCCCATTTTTATTCCATTTTTTCCCATTTTTTTCCCCATTTTTTCCCGTTTTCCCTCCTTATTTTTCAATTTTTTCCCCCCATTTTTTCCCAATTTTATTCCATTTTTTTCCCCATTTTTCCCCATTTTTCCCATTTTCCCTCCTTTTTTTCCAGTTTTTTTCCCCATTTTTATTCCATTTTTTTCCCCATTTTTTTCCCATTTTTTTCCCATTTTATCCCATTTTCCCACCTTTTTTTTCCAATTTTTTTCCCTTTTTTAATTCCATTTTATTTCCCATTTTTATTCCATTTTATTTCCCATTTTTATTCCATTTTTTCCCCATTTTTCCCCATTTTTTCCCATTTATATTCCATTTCATTCCCCATTTTTATTCCATTTTTTTTCCCATTTTTATTCCATTTTTTCCCTATTTTTTTCCCATTTTTATTCCTTTTTTTCCCCCATTTTTTCCCCATTTTTCCCCATTTTTTCCCTATTTTTATTCCATTTTATTCCCCATTTTTATTCCATTTTTATCCCATTTGCATCGAAAATGCAAATTTCCATGCAAAAATGCAAATTTTTGGCGGCGGGAAAAAAAGCGAATTTTGGCGGGAAAAACGCCAATTTTGGCGGGAAAAAAGCCAATTTTGGCGGGAAAAAAGCCAATTATCAACAGAACAAACCCCTCCAAATTTAACTCTTCGTTTCCCATGGATTTTCCCATGGATCTGCAGCCCCAAGGAGGCGTGGAATTCATCAGAACATTCCGGAAAGCCCAAGAGGATCAAAGCATCAACCTCCCCAAAAACCTGGAGCAGCTGATCCGCAATTCCACCTTCCCCCAATCCCCGGATTCCCAGGTCTGGAAATTCTTCTACGATCTCCCAGGTAGGAAATTCCCAAAATTCCAGGGGAAAAATGGGATTGGAGGAATTCTGGGATTGTCCTGGATTTTTTCCCGATTTTTTTCCAATTTTTTCCTCTTTTTTCCTCTTTTTTTTCCCAATTTTTTCTGTTTTTTCCTCATTTTTCTCCACTTTTTTCTGTGTTTTTTCTCAATTTTTTTCCTCCTTTTTTCCCAGTTTTTTCCTCCTTTTTTCCCAATTTTTTTCCTTTTCTCCCAATTTTTTTCCTCTTTTTTTCCCAATTTTTTCCCCATTTTTTCCTCCTTTTTTCCCAATTTTTTCCCTATTTTTCCCTCCTTTTTTCCCAATTTTTTTCCTTTTTTCCTCATTTTCCCCTCTTTTTTTCCCAATTTTTTTCCAATTTTTTTCCTCTTTTTTCCTCATTTTTCCTTTTTCCTCTTTTTTCCTCATTTTTCCCTATTTTTCCCTCATTTTTTCCCAATTTTTTTCCTCCTTTTTTCCTCTTTTTTTCTAAATTTTTTCCCTCCTTTTTTCCTCCTTTTTTCCCCATTTTTTTCCTCTTTTTTTTTCCAATTTTTTCTCTGTTTTTTCCCATTTTTTCCTCATTTTTCCCCACTTTTTCTTCTGTTTTTTATCAGTTTTTTTCCTCCTTTTTTCCTAATTTTTTTCCTTTTCTCCCAATTTTTTTCCTCATTTTTTCCTCCTTTTTTCCCAATTTTTTCCTCTTTTTTTCCCAATTTTTTCCTCATTTTTCCCTATTTTTCCCTCATTTTTTCCCAATTTTTTTCCTTTTTTCCTCATTTTTTCCTCCTATTTTCCCAATTTTTTTCCTCTTTTTTTCCCAATTTTTTCTCTTTTTTTTCCCATTTTTTCCTCATTTTTCCCCACTTTTTTCTCTGTTTTTTCCCAATTTTTTTCCTCCTTTTTTTCTCATTTTTTCCTCCTTTTTTCCAAATTTTTTTCCTCCTATTTTCCTCATTTTTTCCTCCTTTTTTCCCAATTTTTTTCCTCCTTTTTTCCCAATTTTTTTCCTCCTTTTTTCCTCATTTTTTCCTATTTTCCCAATTTTTTCCCTCATTTTTTCCCAATTTTTTTCCTCCTTTTTTTCTCATTTTTTCCTCCTTTTTTCCAAATTTTTTTCCTCTTTCTTCCCAATTTTTTTCCTCTTTTTTTCCCAATTTTTTCCCTATTTTTCCCTCATTTTTTCCCAATTTTTTTCCTCCTTTTTTCCCTATTTTTTCCTTTTTTCCCAATTTTTTTCCTGCTTTTTTCCCAATTTTTTTCCTTTTTGCCCAATTTTATCCCTCCTTTTTTCCCAATTTTTTTTCCTCTTTTTTTCCCAATTTTTGCTTCATTTTTTCCCCATTTTTCCCTCATTTTTTTCCCCATTTTAACCCAATTTTCCCCCAATTTTTTCCCAACTTTTTCTTCACTTTTCCCCAATTTTTTCCCACTTTTCCCTCATTTTTCCCTCATTTTTTCCCCTTTTTTTACAAGTTTTTCCTTATTTTTCTTAATTTTTTCCCCATTTTTTCCCCACTTTTTTCCCCAAATTTTTCTTTTTTTTTCCCTCAATTTAT